CCCTATTTTTCATGTGTATCAAGTTTAATTATTAATTTTGTAATATTTCAAGTTATAATACCTTCCAATTTTTTAGAAATAATTTCATATATTTATATATATTAATTCTTTTTATTATATTTACAATCATTGGAAATTTTCCGAATAAATTTATATCATTTGCACGAATGTATATTTTTCGAAACTTCGGAGCTTCGAAATTAATTTTAAACTTCGAGGCTTTGAAAGAGTTCGAAGATTTTAATGCAATCGAATCTTCAAAGCTTCGAATGTCGAAGCAAATCACCAGCCCTAATCTCTCGACGTGTGTCCCGCGACGACGAGTGTAAAAATCTCACGCGGTACTCCGTCGCACGACCCGGGCGGAATGTGTCAAGCGTGTCGGGATCACCTCGTCGTGTCGATCCTTTCACTTGGAATTTTGTAAAAAAAAAACGGAGACGCATCTCCTCGGAGAGAGACCGCGAATCTCCGTTCTCTCTCTCGTGAATTATCACGTATTATGCGCGCTCGCGCGCTTCTGCGCGTTTCCTTTTTTTCTCTCTCTCTCTCTTTGTGCACACGTAAGCAATCGGTTTACCTTGTGCACGCCTGCTGACGATCACCTGATGATCTCAGGTGTACGTTTCGCCTTTGCGTGTATCCTTCGCATTGTCCCGTGGCGACGCGCGCGATTTATTGCGAAAAAAAAAACAATATCTCCGCCGCGCGCGTCCGTATCACGCGCTCCTATCAACACAGATCGTAGATATCGCGGGCAGATAGATCGGTAGATATCGACGAGTTGCGTTCTAATCGCGGCGGACTCGCGCGCGCGTTCCCTAGCGCGGAAATTCTTACACGGTCGTCCGTTCGGTCTCGAGATCTAACGTTAATCGACTCCGTCTCGCCCGTAATCCTCCGTGGCGATTCGAACAATTAAATAAAATCCAGAGTGCCGCGCGGGGGTAAACCCTTCCGGTGTGTTTTCCCCGCCGCGCCGCCGCCGGGGAGGACGACGATCGCCGCGTCCAATCGTATATATAAGATCAATTACTGAAAAAAGTTATCTTGCAATTATAGCGAAAATTATTTAGATACGAAAAAAACGGATAAGTGATTAGTAAGCACTGCAATACCACATATGTTTTGTATATTTAATCAAAATAGATAACAGGATAGAAATTGTATCTGAACTATTTGTCGAATTTAGCAAGAAAGTTCCTCTGTGACGTTTTATTAGTTTTTTATTAGTCCAAACTCCAATCGTATTTGGTTATGAGATCTATATTTTCTTGTATGTATTCTTAGAATATTGCTGCTATAAATTCTACGTATGACATACAATTTTTTTTAGCAGATACAAAAAAGCGATATAATTTAAGTGTAATATTTAGAATTTTAGCTGAAACAGCGAAACATTTCCTTGATGTGGATCTCTCACTCAGGGAAATGTTTCGCTGTTCCAGCTAGAATTCTAAATATTACACTTAAATTATATCGCTGTGTTTGTATCTGCTAAAAAATTGTCTGTCATACGTAGAATTTTTAGCAGCAATATTCTAAGAATATATGCAAGAAAATATAGGTCTCATGACTAAATACGATTGGAGTCTGGACTGATTAAACGGCATAGAGAAACTTTTTTGACTATAAATTTGACAAATAATTCAGATATAATTTTTGTCTCTGTTATCTATATTGATTAAATACAAAACATATGTGGTATCGCAGTGCTTACTAATCACTTATCCGTTTTAGCTAATTTTTCGTACACGGAAAGAACGATTTTGTTGAAAAATCTAAAAATTTTGCTAAAAACAGATCTGAAAATAATTTTTTATTAAATCATTAAAATAATTTGTTGGAATGTTAAAATTGATAAACATTGTTATAAAACGTTTTGATATTTTAGAAATCATTTTGACTTTCGCACAAAATTATTTTGATTATTGAACAAAAATTATTTTCAGATCTGGATTCAGCAAAATTGTTCTTTCCGTGTACCTAAATAATTCTCACTATAATTGCAAGATTACTTTTTTCAGTGCTTTATTCATTTTATCTTTTCCTAAACTCTAGAATTCTTAGAAAGAGATAAGAACAAGTTAAACCAAAATTAAAATAATTCTACATTGATAAAAAAAAAAGAAAACGTAATTAAAATCTCGGAAAATCTCGCATATAACCTCGCGCGAAAAATATTATAGTTGCTCGAACTTTAATTCGGTTATCACCCGTCACGCTTTTATCTCCGATTGTCGCGAGGGGACCGCTTCCATCAAAACTCCAATTAACTTAATCGCCTTCCATTAAGATCCAGTCAATTAAGCGGCGATCAGCTTGTATAAAGAATGTAAAGTATAATATCTACAGTGTTTCGTCAACTTGCTCGAGAGATTAATTTCTCGTCATTTGCGATGACACGTGGGAAGGGAGATCGAGAGATTCGGGGACAGCGAATTGTTGTGAGATTTTGCAGATTTTAATTACGTTTTTTTTTTTTTTGTAGAATTATTTTAATTTTGGTTTAACTTGTTCTTATCTTTTTCTAAGAATTCCAGAGTTAGGAAAAGATAAAATGAATAGAGATCCACATTGATCTTATCAGTCTGTTAGTCGGAATTTAAGTCAGTTCAATTACTTATTTGACGCCGATACCTGTCCTATTTATAGAGATTGTCCGACGTTTACACTTTCTTATATAGATTAACTATGATTTCGGTTTAACCTCTTTTAATTCTTGGAACTATCACATTAATTCGAAATTAAATTAATCTATTTTGATAAAAATAAGTTCTCGCGAGAGGGGATCATGTTTCTCGTCATTCGGCCATCCTATAAATCGCACGGATTTTTCGCCGGGCCGAGGATTCGCGCGCGGATCCGACTCGAGGGCGCTTTCGAGCGAGGTCGAGTCCGTCTCGAGGAACCCGGCCGGGCTTTCCTTGGCAGTTCTCGGAATCGCCGACAGATTATCCGATGTTTATACATTTTCTTATAGATTAACCACGATTTCGATTTAAATCCTCTTTTAATTCTTAGAACTGTAGCAAGAGGTAAGGATTAAATTAATTCGAAATTAAATCAATCTATATATTGGTAAAAATAAGTTCTCCCGAGAAGGGATCACTTTTCTCGTCATTCGGCCATCCTATATAAATCGCGCGGATTTTCGGCGGGCCGAGGAATCGCGCGAGGTCGAGTCCGTCTCGAGGAACCCGGCCGGGCTTTCCTTGGCAGTTCTCGGAATCGCCGACAGATTATCCGATGTTTATACATTTTCTTATAGATTAACCACGATTTCGATTTAAATCCTCTTTTAATTCTTAGAACTGTAGCAAGAGGTAAGGATTAAATTAATTCGAAATTAAATCAATCTATATATTGGTAAAAATAAGTTCTCCCGAGAAGGGATCACTTTTCTCGTCATTCGGCCATCCTATATAAATCGCGCGGATTTTCGGCGGGCCGAGGAATCGCGCGAGGTCGAGTCCGTCTCGAGGAACCTGGCCGGACTTTCTTTGGCAGTTCTCGGAATCGCCGACACACGTACATACGATACACGGGGGGGGGGGGGAGAGAACAGTCCACGTCCGTGAGTAATTACGTCTGTACAACGGTACGGTCCGCGCAGGTAAAGGTCGCCCGTGGGTCCGAAGGTCACACACCGCCTCTCCGCCCGCCCGCCCGCTCGCCTGCCTGTCGCGAATCGGCACGAATCCTCTCCGTCCTCGCTCCGGCCCCGTCCGACGACGGCGCGGCGCATCGGGTCGCGATTGTTCTTTCCGAGGAGCTCTCGCGGGGCACGTCGACGGCGCGGCGCATCTCGTGTCCGAAAATAAAATCGCGCACGCGGTGACACGTGCACGACACGAAGAGCCGAGAGAGCGACGCGTAGCAGAAGCTTTGTTCTGGCGCGGTCGCGCCGCTCGAATCTACGCTTCTCTTCGGGCAGCGCGCGGATCGAGTTATATGTATATATATATATATATATTGCCCAATTCTTGAATATGTATATATTTTCGAATGCAAACACGCGCGTAACTTAACAGTTAACACACATCACCGCGATCAGGTGCGTGGCGTATCCCGCTGACTCTTTGAATATGCATGAACGATTGAATTGAAATGTCAGTGGTCGCGTGTTACAGTAAAAATAATGGATCGTGACTTCTCCCCCCGCCGAGGGGAAGAGAATCCCTCTGGCGCCTTCCTCGAGGAGGATCTGCCGAGGAGAGACGTTCCGAGGACTCGCCGTTCGCGAGAAACGCAGCGTATTACGCGACGACGGAACGTCCCCGTACACGCGAGAGAGCGTTATTACGTCATAGACAGGAACACCTTCGGGCTGACGAAATCGACGTCTCGAGGAGGCCGAGGCTCGCCTCGTTTCTTCCCTTCGATTCCTCCGAGTCGAGGCACCGCGGATCAGTGTCTCGTGTCGTGCACCGAAGAAACGCCTGTCCGGGACAGCTCGGCGCGTAGCGTGAAGGTGGAGCGCAGCCTGCGGTGACACACCATCGAGCGGCGCACAAGGGGGGCAGGCACGCGGAGGGTATAAAAAAACGCTGCTCTCTCTCTCTCTCTCCGTACTCGGATTTTATCGTCGCGTCAACCGAAACTCGTCCGCGGCGGAGATCCCGACCTCGAAATTAGCCACTCCGTCGTCACTCGCGAATGAGAGAAACGAAGAGGAAACGACGAACGTATAGCGTTTTCACCGTTCCTCGACCGTCGTCGACGGCGACGTGCGAATATCGCGGACGCGTGCACATGCACGCAACACACGCATACATATACACACGGGCGCGCGCGCGCGAGCGAGCGCGCACTCGCCTCTTCCCTCGAGAGAGGAAGTCGCCGACGCGGCGGGGCGTGCACCACGAACGTCGCGAGCACGAAACGAATGAACCGAATGCGCGCTCCTGTGCCGCGCTCGAGGACGAGCCTCGCGGAGTTCGAGCGAGAAGGATACGCCAGCGAGAGGCCGAGAGGGAAGGAAGATCGCAGACACTCACCTTCGCGACTCAGCAGCGGCGACGACGACGACGACGACTGATCCGTGCCAACGCGCGATCGGGACCAGCGGACTGGGGCTACCAGGCTTCGTCCGCGGGTTAGAGTTCATAACCTCTTCTAACCTTTACCTTTTCGCCGTCCCTCCTACCCTTTCCATGTCCTCCCACTAAACCTGCCCTCCCACCCCCTCCCACCTTCCCTGCGCGCGTACATCCCGACATCTCGCGAATCGTGAATGTAGATACATCACGTTCGCGGACGTTGCGCCACGACGGGCTGCAGCGCGAACTATAAGCCAGCGGACGCCGATGACGTCATCTGTAAAGCGGGACGGAGATTCGATTTTTGAAAAGTTGGGAGATACCGACTCGAGTCTCTTCGTGGCCTTCGCGCGATAACGCCGCGATAACTCGACGCCTCAAACGTCGAGGAAGAGGCTATATATTGAAAATAGGGACGATATTGATCGATGTATAAATTTATCGACTGATAAGGCTTTGAAGAAAATGTAATCGAGCTTTCCTGAAAAGTTCAATATAGCGATCAGAACAAAATTTCGATTAAAGAATATACGGCTCATTAAATTTTTAATTATGGATACGAAAGAAATCTTCGGAAATAAAATTCATGACAGTAACAGCAATGCATTAAAAAAAAATTAAAATGTGTATATAAAGTTGTATATATAAAGTTATTGCAAATGGTAAATTTTTCTTTAATTGCAATTATGAGCTTTCTTTATATCACACACACGGAATTAAATTTAAAATCATGATATATACGTATATAAAATTAAAATCTTTTTTAATAAAAACTTAGCAGTTTTCGATATATCTTATGATGCGACTCATTAAATTTTTAATTATTGATACGAAGAGAATCTTCGGAAATAAAGTTCATGAAACAGTAACAGTAATACATTTTTAAAAAATTAAAATGTGTATATAAAGTTACGTATTGCAAATTGTAAATTCCTCTTCAGTTGGAATTATGAACTTTCTTTATATCACACACACGGAATTAAATTTAAAATCATGATATATACGTATATAAAATTAAAATTTCTTTTTTGATAAAAACTTAGCAGTTTTCGATATATCTTATCATGATGCGACTCATTAAATTTTTAATTATTGATACGAAGGGAATCTTCGGAAATAAAGTTCATGAAACAGTAACAGTAATACATTTTTAAAAAATTAAAATGTGTATATAAAGTTACGTATTGCAAATTGTAAATTTCTCTTCAATTGCAATTATAAACTTTCTTTATACTACACACACGAAATTAAATTTAAAATCATATATACGTATATAAAATTAAAATTTCTGTTTTAATAAAAACTTAGCAGTTTTCGATATATCTTATCTTGATGCGACTCGTTAAATTTTTAATTATTGATACGAAAGGAATCTTCGGAAATAAAATTCATGAAACAGTAACAGCAATACATTTAAAAAAAATTAAAATGTGGATATAAAGTTACGTATTGTAAATTTCTCCTTAATTGCAATTATGAGCTTTCTTTATATCACACACACGGAATTAAATTTAAAATCATATGTACGTATATAAAATTAAAATTTGTTTTTATAAAAACTTAGCAGTTTTCGATTATATTTTATCATAATGCGTAACGCATGTACATATCACACAAAAGAATTAGCTTACAAGGAAAGTTTACAAGGATTTTCAGAAACAATCATCCAAAAGTTTCCCTTTCTGGGAGATAACAAAGGCATGAAATATGAAAAAAATTGGTTTATTGCAAACACGTCGCACAATGTGGGGTACATACAATTTTCCGCATATTCATCACGTTAAGCTTTCCACTTCACTAAACGTGACGTGACTACTGCTAGTATCACTACCGGTCCTTAATTTAATCGTAGGTACGTTCGTTTTAATTGCACCTCTCTCTTACACCACGTTCCTTGTCTCTTTTTCTCTCTCCAAAACTCGGATATATACCTTATTTCGTATTTTTTTTTTTTTTTTAAGCGTGGAAAGCGTAAAAGAAGGTGCAACTAGAGCGGACTCTGTTAGGATATTCTTCCGAATTCTCTATCTCTTCTCTATCTAGCAAATATTCCGTCCTCTGTTGTACCGATGATTGTATGTTGCACGATACATTCATACATGCACACATACGTAAAGTTGAATACGAATGAACTTATCAAATAAAACAAATCAACTCGCGTAAAAGCGCGCTGCTGCGATAATGTATATCGTATCGATACAATGCATTACAAAAATTGGGACTATTACTAGAAATATGTTCTTACGCTTAAAATTGCATCTGATTATACAATTAGGTATTTATATTTGTAAGTTGAAAGTATTATCAATAGATATTTACATAAAAAATGTGGGCTATTACATTAAGTAGATATATATATATATATATATATATATATAGAGCGAATGTGGATTGGCGTCCGATATAAAGTAGAATTAAAAAAAAAAGGTCAGAGAGACTACATATCAATGTACAAACGCGCAACTGTGTTCTCACGTTTTATCCGATATATTTAAAAAGTTTCAGAAATTTCCGCACTCTTCTGATTTTCTTGCTCATCCCTTAACAATAAACTTTTGCATTTTCTTTGCTTTTTGGGTGACATTGCACACATGTTTTTGAGATGGCTTATTGCACGCGAGTTCGCCTACCTAGAGAGAAGACATTTCACGTCGGAGTTTATTCTTAAAATGTGGCCCTGAAGAGTTCGCTGATTAAAGTAGTACTTAACTATAACTTTGTGTATCGTTGAACTTGACGGAGATCTTGTGTAAAAACTTAATGTAATTTTTTACGAGAGAATTTAACGCATATATATATGTATATCACCGTACATTATACATTGCGGATTGTTATGTACATGAACACTTTTATCAATGTCTTAGCATTATGTGGTAAAAGTAATACTTAACAATGATTTTATATTATAAATAGCAAGATATTTTCGTATAAATACGAAATTATACGAAAATATCTTATTATCGCAACATAAAACAGTTTCGGGAGTACTACACAATTTAATATTATATACAGGGAAAGTTACTTTTCTTAAAATAACTCGTTATCGTCACTCGTTATCGAATCAAAAACAGTAACTAATTACCGTTACTAGTTACTGTTATTAATTGTTAACAGTAACTCATTACCGTTATTTAAAAAGTAACTACTCATTTCTTTTCCGTTTACTTTTTTCAATATGGAAAGATTCAGTCTAAATAATTTACTTTTGCATTTTTCTGTTTAAATATTAATAAAAGTAAAACAATAAATAAAGTAGTAATTACAGTAATGATCCCAGATCTATAAAAAAAAAAGAATCGTTACGAATCTGTTAAAAGTAAAAGCAAAAGAAAGTAACGGTGACGACACTACAATTTACCTCCCTGTATGTAGCACATAAAAGTGTGATGTACTAATCGGAAATATCAAACAGAATCTCATCAAAACGGAAATTCTGCTAATCTGGCAAACACAAATTCCTTTTGATTTCAATCATATTCCTGTAACGGTAACAAACTCTATGTCTCTAAAATCTACGTGATAGTAACGATACAGAAATTTTTTAATATGAATTGCAAACTAAGAGAGACTGGCCTACTATACGCAAATTACATTATTTGTACAAATCAAATTAAACAAATACCACGTCTGAAACTTATTAAAATAACGAATTTTTTTCTTAATAATCGTAAGCGAAGGTATGTGGACTTGAAAAAGAAAGAGAGACAAGAGTCTCCCGTAATATCTTAGCCTAGCGATAAAATAACATCCATATAACATGTTCAATGGGTGTATTACCTTATCATTTTTATATAGCCTATCACCGCTAAAATTAGTAGCAAGATTCGTCATTACTAGTAGTAAACTAAGTGGATGCTACACTAACTTACATATCAAAAATTGTAATTTGTCCGTATGTCAAAAAGGGATAGAAAGCACCGTAATGATTTTATACACACAGCTCCCGAATAAAAAAAAACAAAAATTGTATGATTGTTGTGTATTAATTGTTCCAGCAGGTACGGTAAGTTGATCACAAAGATTCTGCACATTTTAATTAAAGGCAGACAAGAGTCGCTAGCAGATCTATAGAATCCTCACGAAATTCCACATAAACATCTATCAAAGTATTGTTAAGTGCCGAGGAGGTATTTCGTTCTTACCTGTAAAAATTTTGCATCAGTCGGCTTAGAAAGTTAGAAGTGCCGTATCCCAGCTAGACAAAGTCTAAAATCGACGCAAAAGACGTCTTTTTGGTCATCTTTCAGGTATCTTTTACACAGCTCTCGCAGAAGTGTCTAAAAGACTTCTTAAGCGATGTCTACAATGAGACTTAAGATTTAAGAAAACTGACCAATCACAATCGATTATTTATCTCACATAAGAAAAATAATCGATAGTGATTAGTCAATTTTCTTGAATCTTAAGTCTCATTGTAGACGCTTTAATCCTAAAACGCAATAGATGTAGTAAACTTTAAGCCATAAGAAATTGACCAATCATAATCGATTATTCTCTTCATATTCGACTGCGATTAATCCACTTCTTACGACTTAAGGCTCACTAAACCTATTGTGTTTCGAAACTTAAAGACGTCTTAAACGGCATCTACAATGAGATTTAAGACTTAAGATTTAAGAAAATTGACTAATTACAATCAATTATTCTTCTCATGTGAAATAAATAATCTATTATGATTGGTCAATTTTCTTAAATGTTAAATCCTAAGTCTTATTGTAGACGCCGTCTTAAGCGTCAATTTTAGACTTTGTGCTGTCTGGGATTATACATATAACGGGTCGTCTTGTACTCACTTGGTTTAAAGTTAATGTTCCAGTTAATGATTGCCAAATACATCCTGACTAGCGAACACGACGTATAGAAAACCGTCCGGATCCTTCTCGTTTTGATAGAGCTCGGCCATGGTCAAGGCGCCGCTTACCATACTTTTCTGATTCACCAGCAGGAAAATAGCTTGCGTCGGATGCAGATGTAGCCGGCGTCTGTATTTGCAGCACAAGGGGTGTACATTAATCCGCTTGTATTTCACAAATTCGTGTGAGAGAGGCGGTTGCCACACCGACGAAGATGTGTGTACCTGATTATTTTGCAAAATTCCGCCACAGTTAGAAAATCCGGCACCAGATATTTACTCTTGTCCAAAAGCGGCAGCTGATTTTCCAATTTGTAACGTTCCACAATGACGGGAATTTTATTCGGATGGAGCTTCCTGATCTCCTCCGCACTAACAGATCGCTGTTCTGTGGATTGGCAGAAGGAAAAGATCATTAGCGTATTTAATATCTTATCGGTACAATCTCGCATTTTGTAATCCACTTGACCGGAATAATGAGCTACACACTTGTGATCCGCGACTTGAAACCAAAATGCGCATCCACGTCATTTATTTTGATTTTTTATTTTTTTTTTTTTATGTAAACAGCAAACTTCTTGAACTTGGTGCGTTTAATTGTATACAGTTACTTCTTAATATTGTGGAAAATTAAATGGCGAAATCAAGTTTTGGCCGAGTAAAATTAAAAAGAAGCATAATCAATATCGTTCTTCATAACATACAACAACGAGCTGTGATAAAAAATAATTCAATCGGACGCCTTTATATTTCCCTATTGATTTCGAGAGAGAAGCTTTCGATTTAAGAAATTCCTCGCCGGTTTCTCATCATCGATTACTCGACACCGAGAGAAAAATTTCGTTTATACAATATAATCCCGAATCCTCGGAACTCATTCTTCTCTCGAAATATAACGTTTATGCTGCAACGGGAAATCGTAAAAGCAGCCGAGAATAATATCCGCGATAAGAAAATATGGGAGTAAAACCAAGGAACGCGCGAAGTTCCCTTGGCTCTCTCATCGATTGCACTTAATTGCGCAACAAGGAAAAAAATTCTACTTCTACGAGAACATCATGCACGATCCGCCGGGCTTTAACACACGCCTTTCGCCGTGAAACCTCGTATTCGCGACGCAAAAAAAAAAAAACATCTCGGTCCTGGATCTCGAACGGCGAGAAAATCGCACCCAAATGTAGTATTCGAACGAATTCGGCGAAATTAACCGAACGCGATTGACACAGCACTCCCTCACCCTTCGGTGCCATCCCGGATCGCGACGCCTCGCAGTACTTAGTGGACGCAAAAGGTGCCCGCGCGCTTTCGTCGCCCTTTGTTTTCGACCCGCGCTTTGTTTCACGCGCGATCCTCGTCGTCCCCGTCGGATCGGCGCACTTGTCATTGTTTGTTGTTCGAACGCGACGTTGTAAAAACGAACGCCCCTGACGAGACGACTCGATCGTTGGACCGCAGATCGACAAAATCGACGTCGGTGGACGGAAGATTGTGGGAAAGAGTAAAACGCGTGCAGAGGCCCGTCATTTCGGGAATCGTTCGAAGGGCGTTCGGAGTGCATAGGTCGCGAGGTTTCGCGAGGCGAAGACGAGGTTTCTCGAAGATTCCGCACGTACCACGGCAGGATCCAAGGACACACGGTGTCCCCCTTATTCGCCCCCTTTGTTTTTCCCTCGGCCACCCTGTCCCTACACTCGGAGGGGAAGGGGGAGGGGGAGGGGGATATCATCACGGCGACGAGATTGACGACGTACTACAGCTATACTCACCGAACGTGCGTTTTTCCTTGTACGATCTCCTGGGCGTCAAATTCATGTTCGTCGTGACTCGGGAACGTGCTATCACCTACTGCGACGTACGCGACGCGCTATCAGCTGTGGACTCGGTCTCTCTCGGGTCAAAATATAACCCAGGCTAGCATGCACAACGACGCCGTACCCGACCAGGTCAGGTTGGGCTAGTCGGACGTGACGTAATAGACGCAACGTGTTCAGTCGCGTACGCGTCTCGCGGCGGCGGCGGGGCAACGGTAAGGGCGACATCCGATTCGAACTTCGGTCAACGTAATCGTCGGCGTATTCCGCGTAGTCTGCTGAGTAATGTCCGCAGGTGTATCTCGTTAACGCGGACAGAATTATTAATTTTTCTCACCGTGCCTGACGCGCGCGGTAAAAAATAGCAGATCAGGGACGGGAATTAAGTATACATGAGCGACAATTTTACATCGTGCGGAGCAATATCGAATCCAATCGCCGCGATTAAATTAATCGAAGCTGAAGTTGTTCCGATTAAAACGGTCAAATATAATAAAACGATGAAATGATTCTCATTATAAATGCATGATGAAAATCTGATCGGAACGCGTTTCAAATATTATTTAAACTGTTAGTCTTTTCAAGTCTTATATATATTTTTGAAAAGTTTTCTCCCCTTTTATATGTAATAGTTTACAAAATTATTTTGAATTCTACTCGATATTTTACTTAAACACAATATTTTTATTTTTAACAGATTTAAATATTTCGACACTTAAAAATATTCCAGATGTTTTTTTTCAAGAGTTTCAAGGCTTTTTTTCAATGTCATAATTGGAAATTTTGCCGCGAGTAGTTCTATTGATTGCCAATTTAATTAATTTAAGTAACAATTCAAGTAATATATTAGTATGTTAACATTAATAAAATTATTATATTAATTGTTATTGTTTAATCAACTAACAATAAGAGAAAACGTTAGCATGGGTCAAAGCGGATCTCAATAGAATTTTTTATATCTGAATCTTAAATTTTCAGTTCAAGCGAACTGCACGTCGAATAATCGTCGATCTTTTATTGTTTAACATTTTATTGTTTATGAAGACTGAATTAGAGATAACGACTTATGCAGTTCGAAATTTTTTTTCAAACAATTCTGTCAATTGATCGCCGATCGAAGTTCGATCGAACTCGTCGAAGAAAGGAACTCGAAGGCGCCTCAAGCTGGTTGCGGCTAGGCACGAGTATGCCGAAACAATCACCTGATCGGTTGCGCAGATTTCCAGATGCGTACATGCACCATATAAGAATCATATGGCCAGCATTTCCGTCAATGTATACGTACACTCGTCCCTTCCTTCTCCCTTCACCGAATACGAATCTACATCTCTATCTCGGTCCTAAATGCATGAAAGAATATGCGATGAAGAGAGCCGAAGCAATAGCCTCTTCGGCCTTCGAATTGGATCGCGACGTTCATTTTTAACGAAATCACATATTCGATTGAGTTGAACGTTTCGAATGACGATTCGAATGCGAATTAAAATGTACATTTCAAGAAATATATTATATTGACACTTTTACTCGAAAAATTTCTAGCGAACTTTTTTCGTTAAAAAAAAACACGTTTTAAATTTTACATTACGTTTGAAGCGAATATATGTATACTTGAAATGTGCGATGTAATATTTAACGTCCACGATCTATAAATTTGCATCGAATTGGTATTCCAGAATCTAATACGTTTCCACATATAACTATCTACGCCGTGTATTTTAACGTGTATTTTAATACATATTTCATATCTGCGGTACGTTATCTTGGCCGTTCAATCATTTACCGTACATTACGGCGACGGCGGATGAAATTATAAATAGGATATTCTAAATCGGGCCAGGAATCTCAGAGAGATGGGCTTGGAATATAAATGCTCGAGTCGCGCAAGGACTCTTGAAGAATCCTGATGCGAGAGCTCGCATACAGTCTTCTTTTATTCGTGCAAAAAACAAGTATGTAGAAACACATCGTGAGGAGCCTTATAGCGTTTTCGATTTGTTGACTCGATCCGACTCCGAGTCGGATGCGGTCTATTCTTTTTAGCTATAAAAGAATAGTTAAAGCGTGCAAGAAACGCTAAAAAGAATAGACTATTTTGACTCGGAGTCGGATCGAGTCAACAAATCGAAAACGCTATTAGAGAATTAACGCACTGTACGACTTCAATATACTTGCGTACATTACTTTGCGAAGTTTTATCGAACGTACAATACAAACATATACATACACGTTATACATTCGCGTTGCAATTTTTCCATTCGATAATAAATATTATCGTGGGCTGTGTGTGGACTATTAAAATCGGTGACGCAGAGAGCGGACCAGCGGACGACGCGACGCGGAGTCGAGTCGAGTCGAGTAGCCGCTCCGGCAAGTGCCGCACCCTCGCGGACGGCTGGCGCTTCCTGACCTCGGCGACAAGCGGGCAAACTCCGCTCCGCCGTGCGTTGTCTCGTGTGGCGAAGTCAACGGGACGCCGTCATGGGGCACGAAGCAGCGCGCAACGTAGGGACAACCGCTCGCCTCGCCGTCGACGAGATGCTACCGTGACACGTCGCGTCGGCGAGCCGGTCGACGACGGTGTCGTCCGTAATCCCGTCGTCGTCGTCGTCGTCGTCGAGTTTTCCCCGTTTTTTCGGGAGTCCGCCCCGCGCGAGCCGTCGCGTCGCCTCGGCTGTACCTACAACCGTCGAGTCAGGAACGGTCGGGAATCCGAGTTGCATCCGAGCGGCGTGTCGCGCCGACGGCCGCTCGCAGAGGTCGTCTATCTATGTGAAGCAACACGCTCCGCGGCGTGTCGAGGGGAGCGTGGTGGAGACTGGAGGTGAGCCGAGGAGGAGCGGAGTACGTTGCGGGACGGACGGTGTGTAGCGCGTACCGCGCGCGCGAGAGAAAGAGAGAGAGAGAGAGAGAGGCAGGCAGGGAAGGGAGAGAAAAAGAGGAGAGGCGTTTTTCTGACCGGCACGCGCGTACTCGAGCTGCAGAGAGACTCAGGGATCTCGAGCGCCGGAGTTGAGGACAGACAGAATCCGCTTCGGCGGATCGAGAGCGCGTGTCGATCTGCGCCGCGAGGGCTCCGGCCGTCGAGAACAGGAGTTAAAAGAGTGATAGACAGAGGGAAAGAAGGGAAGAGAGAGAGAAAGTGAGCCTTTTGTGAGAGGGAAGGGGGGGACGTCTCCCCCCGCGCTCGCGCGCTCGCGCGCGCGCGAACACCTGTGCGTCGTGCTGCGGCGGTGCGGTGCGCGCGGCGGACAGTCGCGTCCCGACATCGCTGCCCGTCGCGTATACTTGTATGCACCCGCGCCGTAAACCGGAGGAGCGCCATGGAGGAGTCGTCGCCGGAAGCAGCGACGGCGACGTACGACGCGTCGCGCTGCCGCGCGTCACCACGGCCGTAGAGATCCGTCCCCGCTGCAGCAGCGGCGGCGGCGGCGGCGGCGGCGGCGTGCGATCTCCCCCTCCCGCGTTTCCCCACCCCGGTTGTTCCGTCGTCGTCGGGGCATTAACACGGGGGACCGTCGCGCGTCTCGACCGGGCGTGAGTGTGCGTGGTGCGTGCGTGTGCCTGTGCCGGATATCAACCCCGCTGCGTGGTGATCGTGGTGGTGATCGTGGTGGTGGTGTGACGGTCGCGTCGGCGGCTGTCGCGGGTGGTCATCGTCGGCGAAGATCTCTCTCCGCGCGGGGACCGACGTCGCGCTCGAGGGGGTTAGAAAAAGACATAGACATGGTGGCGGCGGCGGCGTGAGAGGCGCGACGGACGGAAAGGGCGACGGATCGAGCGAGACGGACGGTCGGCTTGACGGGGAGGGGGGAGGGGAGGTGAGGAAGGGAGGCCGCGCGCGGTGTGACGAGAGAGCGAGAGGAAGCGGCAGCGACGATCGGCCAGCCAGGCCAGTCAGTGCGCCAGAAGCGACGAATTCGACCGGCGCTCCCTTTGTCCGTGCGCTTCGGGAGATCGAGAGAGAGAGAGAGAGAGAGATCGCGTGTACGTGTGAGAGAGAAATTCGCGGCGGATCGCGGACAGGATCGTCCCGACTAATCGAGCGACCGGATTGATGCCGACGGGTCGGCAACAACGACGACGACGACGACGACGACGACGTACGTACCACGCAACAACCGTCGACGAGGCGCGGCCTCCACGTCCTTCGCAATCCGCACACGCGACCTCCCGGTTCGATTTTTATGCCGCGGGTGCCGTCAACGTGCCAGCCAGTCTCCGGTACGGTGAGACCGACGGTCAGGTCGCTCGTCCCGGTCGCGCTGTCGTGTCGCGACGTCCTCTAATCGACGTGCAACGTGCACGGTGTTATGTCGCAGCCGACGACGGCGGCGACCCGCGTGACTCGTCGGCGGAGTCGGTGACGAAAGAGCACGCGTGTCTTCCGACGGGGAGAGATAAGCGGAGAACTGAGCGAAAGATGTGAGTAATACGTGGAGGAGAGGGTCTCTCTGACGTAGACGACGACGACGACGGAAGGTAGACTCATCGGAGAGCGCGATTCGCTCGGGTCACATTCGGAAGTCCGTTACGATAAGAAAAAAGAGTCAACAAACAAGAAGAAGGGAGGAGGGCGGGATTGTGTTTCTCTCCACTGGACTATAATATCGCCCGGCTTTCGTGCGCGAGGAAGTGTGTTCGAGGGTGGCGATAGATCGCGGCGTGTCTGTGTTTACTACGTGGGCTAGTCGTGGCGCGCAGGGGGTTATCCTCCTGAAGGATACGGATATCGCACGGATAACGTGTTTGTCGAAACACGAGCGTCGAGAAAAAGAGAGAGAGAGAGTGTGAGGGTTGAAGAAAGGAGAAAGAGAGTAGGGGCGGTTCTTTGTATGGCCATCGGGAGGCGGGAATCGCGCGTCTCGCCGCGAGGTGGAATCGATCGGCGGCGACGAAGGGGAGAATCGACGGCGGATCGGGCCGGCGAGTAGTCCGCAGGACCGGGTGGCGTGAAGGGGCCAACCGGCCGGGGGTATTCTCCGGACGGCGACGTGCGAAAGAATGGAACAACGGCAGCGGCATCAACAACAACAACAACAACAACAACAACAACAGCGGCAGTGGCGACGACGACGCGGCGACAGCGACCGCGGCCTCGACGGCGGAGTCGTCAAACTCGCGGCAGCGGCGGCGGCTGCGGCGGCCCGGTGCCAATAACCTCCGCGCGTTATAGCACGGCCAACTCGCGAGTCGCGAGTACACTCGGGAAGACTTGGTTTTAAGCCCCGCTACCACGCGCGGCGATGATGCGCTGCTCGCCCTCGTCGCGCGCGACAGATCGTAAAATTAGAAGAAGACGTTCGGGGCGAGCGTCGTGCTGCTGCGTGCGGCGACCTCGCGATCGCCTTCTGCGGCGGCCGGTTTGCGACGGTGGTGCTCGACGACGGCCGGGAGTCTCACCGGAGACTTCTCGACGACGGGTGTGACGAAGTGCGCGCGTGACGGGAACGTGCGGTTCCTCAGTGCCTCCGCTCTGTGTGTTGCGCGAGTGCCCGGAATTACGCGAGTTTGTGATCAACGAGCCGACCGACCGACCGATCAGCCAGGGAAGAGGAGAGAGAGAAAGAGTGAGAGAGGGGTCGTCTCTCCGAACGTGGTACAACCCCTTTCCGCGTGATTCGTAACTCGTCGCCGAGCGTGCGAGTGCAACAACCCCCTTCTAGTCCGTTGCATTTACGAGGGGCCGCCGATTTTTCCGCGGTCCCCCTGAGAAATTATAATTAGTGGAATTGATCCAGCGCACACGTGTGCGAAGCGCTCGACACAATTGACGCGACGTCATTCCGCTCCTCGAGATCCACGTTCCCGTTTTGGAATTTCGCTCCTCGTTCGCAATTTGCTCGGCGCGAAACCCAAGGGGCAGACCGCGGTGTTCCTTCCCCCGGTCGATCCGCGATTTGATTCGTCTGTCATCGCGCCTCTCCAGTGTCATCCTGGATCCTCGTCTGGAGCGAAACAGCATGTCCCTCGTGACGTCCGGGCTGCCCGTCGACGTGTCCGGCGAAAGCGCGAGGTCGGGAAACGCGGTGGGACGCTGATCCCACGTGCGCCACGTGGATTCGACGCCCGGGAACGACGCTCACGCGTTCCTCGGTGACGAGCCTCGACGGGAGAAAAATACCGCAGACAAAAGGACGGAAACAAATGGGTACCAATGACTAGCTTGGCCCTGTCGGCGGTGGCAAGCAGGATCGAGATGCCCCTCTCCAAAACGAATCCGTTTGCGATCAACCCGCAGCCGTACATCTCGAGCAGCGAGAGCAGCAACCACCTGCCGCCGATCATCAAGGGTGCCGGGCTGACCGGCCTGAAGCAGACCGGCGGCGGCGGCGGCGGCGGTGGAGGCGGCGGCGGCGGCGGCGGCGGAGGTGGCGGTGGAGGTGGCGGCGACGAGACGGTGCCTTACGTAGGTTACCAGAGACTACCGTGGAAAGGCGAGAGCTTCGGCCTGAGTAACTGGCCGGTGAGTCACAATTCCAGCCACAATTCGCATTCGCAACCCAACAGCCAGTCGAGCAGTCCTGTGGTGAGAAACGGCCGTTCTGACGGCAATTCTAACAGCGGTACTGGCCGCGGCGGAGGCGGCGGAGGCGGTGGTGGCGGCGGCGGAAGCGACAACGGAGGCGTCGGTGGAGGTGGCGGTGGCGGCGGAAGCGGCGGCGGCGGCGGCGGCGGCGGCGGTGGTGGAAGCGGTGGCGTCGGCAACAACAGCATCGTCAGCGTGAAACCGAAGACGGCGACCATCACGCCGGAGATGGTGATGAAGCTTTACATGAACAAGCTTACGCCGTACGAGCACCACGAGATCTTCAACTACCAGCAGATCTACTTCATCGGCGCGAACGCGAAGAAACGACCGGGCATCATCGGCCGGCCGAACAACAACGAGTACGACAACGAACAGGGCTCGTACATCCACGTGCCGCACGATCACGTGGCGTATCGGTACGAGGTGCTGCGCGTCATCGGCAAGGGCTCGTTCGGCCAGGTGGTCAAGGCCTACGATCACAAGACCCACGAGCACGTGGCGCTCAAGATGGTGCGGAACGAGAAGCGCTTCCACCGTCAGGCGCACGAGGAGATACGTATACTGCGCAAGCTGCGCGAGCAGGACAAGGACAATAGCATGAACATCATCCACATGTTCGACTCGTTCACCTTCCGCTGCCACATGTGCATCACCTTCGAGCTGCTCAGCATCAACCTGTACGAGCTCATCAAGAAGAACAACTTCAAGGGCTTCAGCCTGCAGCTCGTGCGCAAGTTCTCGCACTCGCTACTGCTCTGCCTGGACGCGCTCTACAAGAATAAGATCATACACTGCGACATGAAGCCGGAGAATGTGTTGCTCAAGCAGCAGGGCCGCAGCGGCATTAAGGTAAGACAGTATCATGCGAAATTGCATATAGAAATAGATACAAGAATCGTAATATTTTTCAAACGTATTTGCCTTATCTTTCCAGTTATATGGAACTTTAATAATTTACTTAAGCTTTCGATAAAAAGTAGGATAAAAGAGTTTGAAAAAATGCTTAACGGGGTCAAAAGCAGGGTGGGTACTACCGGGAAAAATCGGGAAAACTTGAAATTCTCAGGGAATTTCATTTTTGCCCTTGAAAATCATGGATTCTCATGGAATTTCACTGGTACTCGGGGAAATTTTTTGAATTTTTAAAATTTAATTTTATCCCTTTAAAGTAAACGTGGCCCCAAATCGAAGACCTCTGATACTGAAAGTTAATTTATTTTAAAATTGACATATACTATTTATGAAGACTCTTCAATCGAAAAAATCGATAATCCGGAAATAATAAGTCAGAGTTAAGAGTCATTAAGAGTCTAATAACGCAGAACTTGGTGCGTGAAACAATGTAATCTTCACATATGTAGTTACATCTCCACACAAAATCTTTCGTTAAAAAAATTTTGTATGGAGATGTAACTATTGTACATATGAGAAGATTAAATTGTTTCACGCATCTATACGTTATTAGAATTCTTAGTGCCGAATTTATTTTAAAGCTGAGAAATTTCTCCAATCTTATTTGGAATTTTGAATAAAATTCCTGGAAAATCCGGGAATTTTCAGGGAATTCTTTTACAAAATTTGAGTACCCACTCTGAAAAATTAACTCTTTATTAGAAGTAGAAACTACTTTTGATAGTACAAGCAAGTGAATCACTTACATCTTTGCATAGGTTTATTTACACATATCATCTCTCTAGTCATTTTATTTTACAAATAACAATATTACAAACAAAATCGTCGAAAAATGAGAGAGAATATTTTTATACGCGGAAAATGATAAGGAATCAATTTGTGTAAAAAAAAAAGATGCAAAAAATCAACTGTATTATCAAAATCGTTTTTCCGTCATAATTAATTGCTTCACCTGCGTCCTGCGCATTAAACATATTTGCTCCTTTTAATGAGTACCGTATGCCCGCAAAGCTCTCTATATAGACACTTTATATTAAAACAACTTTACAAACAAGACTTATAGCCTGTAAAGGTAAATAAGCGATTGTAGTACGTGTATCGCGCATTCAAGAGGCTTATAAATTATTGTCGTGTGCCTGCAGAAATCGATATTTCGGGATTAAGCCGGCGATAATATATTTCGCTGCCGCGAAATGCGAAGCGCAGGAGCGGAATTCGCGGAAGTGGACAGGTGGTCGCGGGCCAAGCGATGGAGTCGCGATTAAGGAAACTTACTCGTTCAATTCAAGAGACACGTTCTCTCCGAAACCTGAGAAAATCTATTTCGAGTTCAACAGAATCGAATTTAGATTTGTTTCCATCTTGCAAGTCTTCAAGGAAAATAATAAATTGAACGTCACTGAATGAACTGTTGAATCGGCGCGTGCAAATCTCACTTTTTACAACTTTTAGTTTCGAGACGCGAGTTTCTTATCGCGCCGGCACGAAGACGAGCAGCGCGCGCCGGCGATCGAAAGCAGATTTGCAGCTCGTGCAGCAGGCGCCACGAGCGGGGTGCTTCTCGATACATCCTTTGATATTTCCGATAATATTTGCGAAACAAGAGCTCGAGTCTCTCTCTCTCTCTCTCTCTCTCTCTCTCTCTCTCTCTCGAGGGCATCTCGAGAGGAACCACTTATTATTTCTCGTAACGCGATCCTTTATTGACATTCCATGCAGGAAACGCGATTATACGCTTTGCATGCGGAAGGCTTTACTACCTCACGCAGGAACGACAGATACGCCAGGCGTATGTACCAGATATGCACCGATGTCATGATTATACGAGTGACATTCCATGCAGGAAACGCGAACTAGACGAAATTTCGTATCATTTCACGGAAAGGACAATTTTGCTGGGTTCAGATCTGAAAATAATTTTTGTTCAACAATCAAAATAATTTTGTGTGAAAGTCAAAATGATTGCTCGATTGTCAAAACGTTTTATAGTAATAATGCTTATCAGTTTTAATATTCCAACAAAATATTTTGACGATTTAACAAAAAATTATTTTCAGATCTGTATTCAGTAGTATTTTTAGACCTTTTAACAAAATCGTTCTTTCCGTGTTTATTTATAATCCATCATTTTTACCTGCTCGCTACTCTCCGCTCCTTTATAGGTACCTATACGTTCTTATCTCGTCGAAAATATACGTTCGACTGTACAGATAATAATTTTTTTTTATACACTTTTTTCCTCCGCGCTTTCACTCTGTGTGCGCCTTTACTTTCGTGAGACCGGGTTTTCAATTAATGCTAATCGATATTCCGCTTCGCCCACGAAACATTTTCCATGTACACAGCAGCCGCGACCTTTAGCCCCGAACGTTCCCGAACGAACGGGGGATCCGATATCGGTGAAATCGCGCGGAAGGCTGTCGGAGGCTTTCCCCTCCCCTCCTCCCACGCGAATAATACGACACGCTGCGCTTCGAAAAAGAAAAAAAAAAATCGGCCGAGTTCCTCGAGTTCACGGTTAACCGACAAACCGAGAGAGCGCGAACGAGGGGAAACCTGTGTCCCTAGCTGTTGCGCAGGCAACAACCGCGAGACGTAAATTCTCTGTTAACTCGGCGTTGTCAAAGTGAAAATATAATCATTGAATTACAGTTAATTTAAGAGCTTAAGTCGTAATTTTTAGAATACTTTAAATTAAAGTTTGATCCCAAATTATATCACGCGGAAAGAACGATTTTGTTGAAAGGTCTAAAAATTTTGCTAAATACAGATCTGAAAATAATTCTTGTTCTATCATCACAATAATTTATTGGAAAGTTAAAAATTATAAGCATTGCTATAAAACGTTTTGATATTCTATATATAGCAATCATTGTGATTTTCCAACAAAATTATTTTCAGATCTGGATCCAGCAAAATTGTTCTTTCCGTGGCAAGATTGATGTGATACGAAATCGTTTTAAAACATTTTTTTATTATAATGACACACATAGAGCGATTGCGAAAATAACATATGTATTTACAAAATTTGGACTTTGTCATATTCTATATTTTAAGCCAGCCTACGAATTGAAGGTTGAAGATTGCGAATCGTAGATTAGAATTTTTTTTTACCAATCAGATAATTTAATTTTAATTCGTTTCACTTTGATTGATCGAATTCTAATCTTGAGCTTGCGATCTACGATCCCGAATGCCTATAAGTCTGATACGGGCTTTAGTATAATGCCGCGTTAAACGACTTCGGCTCCCAATATTTCGCGCGCACGGCGATACTCGGTTTGTCGGAGCGAAACGAAGTCGGCGGCGGACACAAAGGGGGAAAATTCCTGCAGCACCAGCTACTGCGTCTCAGATGCTGCGATGCACTTAACACTGTATTGTTTACGACGATAGAAACGGGTTGAGGGGGGGGGGGGAGAAATGGTTCGTGGGCGGTGGCGGAAATTCTTCGATGCAATTCTGCGACTCCCAAGCGTCTCGCGGCGGGAGAGAGGGGGGGATTCCGGTAGAAATTCTGGTCCATTACCAGTGGTACCTCTACTTCCATTTACGCTTTTAACGGTAATTGGTAGAATGTATGGTAGAAATGTGTATCTTGCTTCTCCCAAGATATATATCTTCCTGCCGTCGGGTCGCGTCGTTGTGATTTACATTTGCGTATATGAATTAATAGCATCAAATATTTCGCGCGAGGACTATACGAATATTTGACATCGCTAGATATATCTTGTGTAAGGTGCGTACACACGGCGGAAAGAACGATTTTGTTGAAAGGTCCAAAAATTTTTGCTAAAAACAGATCTGAAAGTAATAATTTTTTATTACATCATCAAAATAATTTGTTGGAATGTTAAAACTGATATAAGCGTTGACTATACGTATCGGTTTTAACGCCCACAAAAAAAAAGTATTTGAAGAAAATCGTTTAGTCTCCTTTTTTTAAATCTTAAATTCGTATTTTTATTTTATCTTTCCTAAGATCTTTGTTGCAAGCAGATAGATAAATATTATAGCGTTATTAATGTAATCTTCATGCTCGTGCATGCATTCGCACTAGTTATCTGATTATTTTGAGTATCACTCCCCTATCTAATTCTCGAAATCGCGGATAATACCTGGTATCCAGGATACGTGAGTATTCCGAGTCCTCGCTCGAGTCCCCTCCTCCCCCTCCCCACCCCCACTTCCTCGTCCCGGCAACGAACGTGCAAGAACGCGCGCGTACAAGTGGGAATCGCATTATCTCCGCCAACTGTAGCATTCGCACGCAAGTCCGCAAACTTTCCGAGTAAGGCCTGCCTGCCTGCCGGGTCGTGACCTTGCGAGGCCGCGCGCGGTGGTTTACTTTGACGTCGACCTGCCGGCGCTCTCGCTCCTGCTGCCAGGCCGTAAAGCTGAGAGAGGCTAAGTGCTGGAAATGGGCAAAAATTAGATTTGCTTGCCCCTTCTAAGTGGCCGTAACCGATGGGCGGCAAGTTCCGAATGGCCTCCCGACGGCTTCCCGGGGTTCTCAGGACAACGCGATTCTCTTCCCCGCGTATCGCGATTATTCTCACTGCACTCGACGGAGTGATGACACAGCGCGTTTCCACGCCTCCGTTTTGATCCAGCGAGCACGCGACGACGCGACGAGGGGTTGGAGGGAGGAGGGAACTCGAGAGAAATTGAGATGACATTCGAAAACAGCCTGTAGGTCGATTTCCTCGAAATAGTATACGCGCGTCTTCCCGAATCTCTTCTTTATTTGTTTCACACGCGAAATCGACAGCAGTTCGAGGTCGATAAATCTTGATTCCGAACGAGAGAGAAAGAGAGAGAGAAAGGGAGAGACGTCAGCCTTTGATTATTATTTCACGGAAGGAATGATTTTGTTGAAAGGTCTAAAAATTTTGCTAAATACCAGATCTGAAAATAATTTTTGTTCAATCATCAAA